ACCCGCCACAGTTCGAGATTTAGCCCACACTCGGCGGCCATATTTGATCCCCACCGCGGCGTACTGCTCGTGGCGCCGCGAGGAGAGAGAGGAGGCTCCATTAGTTCTAAACTCCTTGGGGTAGACATATCTGGGATAGACTGTTAGTGAATTCAGGATAATATTATCTAAAATCTAGCTCTCACTGGCACGATTGAAGGCAAACGAGGCAGAGGTAGACATATCTGGGATAGACGGTTTGTGAAATCAGGATTTCTTATAATGTGTAACTGTGTGTTGGTCTTGAAATCAAGGCAAACGGGGTAGGGGTAGACGTATCTGGGATAGGCGGTTTGTGAAATCAGGATATTTTGAAAAGTGGAATTATGTGTTGTAGACATATCTGGGATAGACGGTTAGTGTAATGTGTAACTGTGTGTTGGTCTTGAGCATCTAGCTCTCACTGGCACGATTGAAGGTAAACGAGGCAGGGGTAGGCGCATCTGGGATAGGCGGTCAGTGAAATCCGGATTTTTAACCCTACCTGTACGCCCTGGAGTCATTTTGTACCCCCGCGGTTGTATTCTTCACATTTTAGAATACTTCTAGTATACGAAGATCTTTTTCAAACTTTCAGTATTTCTCAAAAAAATCATTTTGACAGACTGCTATGCAAAGCGTACGGATCGGATTAACGAGTAAAAGCAATTTCCTCGTTGGAGAGTGGTGGCACAGAGTTCCCCGCTTCGTATGGATACGATCGTAAAACATGACGTACAGATAGGGTTAAAATGTGTAATTGGAAGCTTTTAAGGACAAGCGGGCTAACCCAGATTTCGGGGGTCTCCAGAAATCTCGACCTACACCAAAAGTAGACATTGCCCTACCTATAGGAGAAGTTTGGTTTCATTGGTATGTATATTTGTTTAGTTATAGAGAAAATGCTCTTAGTCTTTTAAAGAAACTGAACAAAGGTCCCAAAACTTTACCTTCGATTTTCTCAAAACAGCATTTTTGGGGGGATAGCCCCTGTGTGCGACCAATTGTGTGTTGGTCTTAAACATCTATCTCTCCCTGGCACAAATGAAGGCAAACAAGGCAGGGGTAGGCCCAGAACAACCTACTTCTGGAACTTAAACAAATGAGTAACAACAGAGAAAGATCAGGGAAATGTACTCGTAGCTTTTTTAAGAGCATCCGAGCAAAAGAATGAATGAAGAACCATGGTCACCGTTGTCTGTCGTAGATCTGGCACTGGATGATTTGGAGAATATTATAACAACAGGAAAGTTTGATGGAAAAGAGGCAGAGGTAGACAGAGGGAAACGATACTGGACAAGTTGACAACTTGACTTGGAACAGCAAGAACAACAGAGTCCATCGCTGCAACGCAAGACAGAGTGAAGTGGAGGTCTATGATCGC